TCTTCCTCTCAACGGGTCTCTGATGAAGAAGAAACTGAAATTGGGAGAGAAACGAGACGACCCACCAGACTTCGAGGAAATCCCAAGATGATCGAAAACGTGAGAGAGAGAAAGGGTCGAATTTTTCTCGTGGGTTTTATCCTGTACATAGAAAAGATTCAATTTTTCACTTTTATACTGAGGATTAAGCCTTCAGAAACAGGCAACTGAGGGGGAAAAAAAAAGAAACGTACGATGAGAAAAAAGGGAGGAGTGAAGAGGAGAAGAACGGTCCGGCCTCGTAGGCGCGTTCCAGTGATGGCGAAGCACGAGAGGAAATTCTTCTATTTAGATGTTGAAGAAAAGTTTCACCTTTTAATATATATATATATATATATTATTTGACCTTTTCTTTTCTTTTTTTATAAAAGCGTGACAGGTAGCAAGAATGACTGACCAATCATAATGCGCCATTTTCCAAACGGAAGCCGTGAAGCGAAACGCAACGCGGAGCCCCCTCCGCTGTCGCTGTGCGTCACGACGGCCTCCGTGCTGACATGTCATGTCGCCTCGTGTAGTGGGACCCACTGGACCTTACTGAAATTTTCAATCTACGTTCGGAATTGGACCGACGACAAATATTATCATGGTTCACTATTATTATTTCCATAGTAGTATGAATTTTAACCACAGGAAAACTTTAAAAAAAAACACACAATTTTTTTATGTTTTTTATATTAATTTTTTTATGTTTTATATTCTTCCAATTGGTATATTTGTTTCAGTCTTTATGCGCTCTTTTGTGGTAAGTTTTATTGAATATAAAACGCGTAAAATAGCTTTAAAAGAAAATAATCAAAAGTACACACAAATACTCCACAAAATTGTAATATAAGATTATGGCCGGCGATGATTTAGGGCGTGGGATTATAAATACATGTCAGATAAATATTTTAAAAATCGTATTTTTTAAAAATTGTTCGGAATGCTAATACCATGCCGATTTAAAAAGTTCTGCTACGCAAAAATAATAAATATTAAAATATATGTTATGTTGATTTTCCAATTACCATTATTATAGCATTATGTATCATCATATTTCGGTAAAATGAAGTTTATATATTTTTTATTGCTATTTTTTTTTATCACAGGACTAGATATTCTACATTTAAACATGTAATAAGGCAGCCAAAATCCTTATGAAATGAACACTGTATTTATATAAAGTAGTGTTAATTGGTTCGAAATTAATGTGCATTATTATTGTGGATAAGATCAATTATGCGTTATTATTGTCTGTCCAATAATCACAGCGCAAAATACCGGAATAAAACATGTCATCGACTATAATATAAAGTTTGTTTAAATTAATGGTATCATGTAGCTGTATCCTTATGGTTGGTATCTGCCCATCTGGTCTAACATGCTCCACATTCACATTCCAATTGTTCAACTTTTTGTTGTTACAAGTGGAATCGTTTTTTATATAATATACATATGATATATATATATATATAGAGAGAGAGAGAGAGAGAATTTATTTTATTTAGTGAAACATTGATATTGAAAAAAATCAAAGTGGCTTTTTGTTAAAAATATATCATTCCAATTACCATCAAAATGTATATTTTTGTAAAAAAAAAATAGAAAACGAGAATATTAATATCTACACTTGCCAAAATTTTCAAAATAAAATAAAACTAAATTTTATAAACCATAAAAAATTTAATTGTTAACGCTAATATGATAATTTTGAATTCGTCTACATGACATATGACATGACAATATTTTATCAAAGTCAAAATTATCATGTCATCATTCGAATGATCATATGAGTGTTTAGTGTTTACAAAATTCAGATTTATTTAAATATAAATATCAAAATTTGAGTTTTAAAAGATAAAAACTAAAATTGAGGTTTTATTTTTAAAATTTTGATGAGGTATTAATCTTCAAATTCCCCTAAAAATTATTTAAAAAATCTATAATAGTTATATATTTTTTAAATATATATTCATCCATCACTCTCTCCCTCTTTTTCTCTATATGTATATAATCATTTCGAACATTTTTTTTATAATCGAGTATCTTGAATCGAAGTCCACACTAATTTCGGGGTAGAAATCAGTTGATTTGAATTAATACGTTCTATTTTCAATTTGAGACTCGAACTCGGAGCGGAACATATATTTTACATCCTATTTCACCGGTTAAACTAGTCAAACGTTTAGGCAATATACATAAATTCATCCGTGTTGACTTCTATGTTTACGCAATATACATGAATTCATCCATGTGTTGACTTCTTAGGTACGTAGGCTGATTTGCACTTAGAAAGGGAGCCATGAACGTATCGTCGTCGTTGACTTTGACAGATAGCTCTCCATCGTTTAATTATAGAGTATATAGTATACAATTAAAATAGAAACTTGTTGGTTTGATGGGTGGCGAAAGCTACGAAATATTCACATTAATTTTGTTAGGCAAGTTCTAATGACAAATCATCTCCACCATTATGTAACAGTGGCGGATCTAGGATCATTTTAGTTGGGATACATAGGAATTTGGTAATTTCTTTTAAAATCTTATAAAATTTCTATATAAATTAATTTTTTTAATTAGGTAACTGGGGGCATGTGCCCCCATTAATTTGTAAATGGGTCCGCCCCTGGTTGTGTAAACTTGACAAAAATGTCAGACCAAAATATTAAAATTAATTATGTCTTTTAGAAAATTACGAAATTCAAACTTTATAAAAAAATTACGAAATTGATACAATAAACTTTGGTATTCAGGGAATGGGTGTTCCTTGCAGAGGATTCAAAGCCACTTCCTTTCTGAAATCAAACGCATTTATTAGCTTTACCGATTTTAATGTTTAATTTTTTGTCCTGCCTTTTTCGTTTGATTTATTTATGTCAAAAGGGTATTTCACATTTTTTTTTAAAGTTTATATATCAGATATTATATAATGACATCTAATCGTAGGAGGACAAACGACTGCCTATAACGCTTCATTTATTTTCCTATGTTTGCATTTTCTTATCATATTTTAGAATCTAGTTATACAATTATTAGAGATATATACATACACGTAACGTAAGTATCTATTAGCTACATTATACATACATATATATATATATATATATATATATATGATACATACATACATACAACAAAAGGGCCTAATAACTTCTAGGCCCAATAGTAAGTTGGGCCGAAATCTGGAACGACCCGCTTCGGTTTCCGAACCACGGCCTCGATTCTAGAACCCTAAAGTTTCAGATCATTTCGATTGAGAAATTTTTGCTCGGAGACTCGAGAATCGGCGAAAATGTCGATGTCGAAGAGCTCGAAGATGCTTCAGTTCATCAACTACAGGATGAGAGTGACGATACAGGACGGGAGGCAGCTGGTGGGGAAGTTCATGGCATTCGATCGCCACATGAACCTCGTACTTGGAGACTGTGAGGAGTTCCGGAAGCTTCCTCCGGCGAAGGGGAAGAAGGAAGAGGACCGAGAGGATCGCCGGACACTTGGCCTTGTCCTGCTTCGCGGCGAGGAGATTGTTTCCATGACGGTCGAAGGTCCTCCGCCGCCGGAGGAGTCTCGCGCCAAGGCCGCTTCTGCCTCCGCCGTGGCTGGCCCCGGAATCGGCCGTGCTGCTGGTCGTGGAGTCCCGACGGCGCCGCTGATCCAGGCTCAGCCGGGTCTCGCCGGGCCGGTTCGCGGCGTCGGTGGTCCGGCGCCTGGAATGATGCAGCCGCAGATCTCTCGTCCGCCGCAGTTATCTGCTCCTCCGATGTCGTACCCCGCGGGCTCTGCTGGTGCACCGCCGGTGATACGACCGCCGGGGCATATTCCGCCGCCGCAGCCTGGTTTCCCGGGACAAGGTCCTCCGCCGATGGCTCGTGGCCCGCCGCCGCAGGTTCCTCCACCGCCTTACGGTGTGAGACCGGGTCAACAGTTTCCGATGCCTCCGCCTCAGTATGGTCAGAGACCGATGGTCCCTCCGCCTGGTGCAATGATGAGGGGACCACCAGGTCCGCCGCAAAGGCCGGGAATGCCTCCGCCACCGAGACCGGGAATGCCTCCGCCACCAGGTGGGATTCCTGTCTTTGCTCCGCCTCGCCCTGGAATGCCGCCTCCACCCAATCCGCAGAACCAGCAGCAGCAGTGATAAGGTTACTAATGCTTTTTCTGTTGACTTGAGTTCTGATATTTAAGCCCTTCTGCTTAGGATTAACAGTTGGAATTCATCTGACATGATCTAATTACTGTGTTCTGACAGTTGAAATCTTGTGCTAGTTTGGAACTCGACCATATCAACTTTGTTGGTTGTGCTTCAATTAATGTTTTCAATTGTATCATGGATTTACTGGTGTAGTTGAACAGCTTAGTTACAAAGAGCCGGTAGAATAATAGAGGCATCGGTCTGAAATTCGTGTTATACGATTCAGATTGTGATGGGCTTGGTACTGTTGGATTCATTTGACCTATATTTGATAGATTTCACGGCTCTTAGGAATCAGGACATCACATTTTTAACCCAATCGTCTACCTGCAACTATCTAAACTAGAAAATGGAATGGAGAATTGCCTCACATCCATCTGGAAGTTCCTCACTTTCATGTTAATGCAATCTTTCAGATACTAACATGTTCATGCGTGTTGATTAGGGCTTTACCCTTATCCATCAGTTCCATCCATCCTTGTTCTAACATCTCCCCTCCACCGTATGTTTGAGAGCAGGGGCGAAAGCTTTTTCTCTTTCGTGGCATCACCACCATCAAGTTACCATCTGGTATGCAGATTGATCTCTCTGTTTCAGTTTTGTAGATTCTCACGTTAATCGAGTCGAATGTAGTAATAGTTAGTTGTAGTCAGTTCATCACTGGAGGATGGGAATCCAAAAGAGAAATGGAATGGAATCAATAGGTCCGTTCAGATTCGGCTTTGTCCGAACCGATATTGCCCCCCATTGCCTGCATTTGTTTGCGGTGGTGATGGGTTTATCCACCTCGTACTGGTTGTAGATACTAATGGTCATTATGCCGGTTTATATCATTCTGATTTTATGCTATTAATTTGCAAATCACAGACCAATATTATCATCATTGAATTTGAAGCACTAATGTCATATTTATTTCTTATTTCTTGGTCCTGTTAACAACATGACAACATGACACGCATAAGTGTCATATGCAACTCTTATTACATGTAACATCTTAAAACTCTGGCTTTATTAACTCCCCGAGTGAGATCGTAATAGCATCACACGTGTCACCTGAGTTTTTTTTACGGGACACCTTGTCGTCGGTTACTTGCCGCCGGAGAAGGCACCCAACTGTCGTCGGACCCTTCAAACGGTCCCGAAGGTTCGGTAGGAATCGGATCCACGAACGGAATTTGCGGGAATTCGGGGAGAGATGGCCAATTTGGTACCGGAAACTTCGGCTTCAGAAGATCCGACACTGTTGCTGGCGGAGGCGGTGGCGGTGGCGGTGGTGGAGGCGCAGCCGTGACCAGAAACTCCGGGTCGTGGATCGGTGAGATGTGGTTGGAAGAAGGGTAATCATCGACTCCGATCTCTGTTTCGCTTGCCGGAATGTTCACCGGCCGGGAAGAGAGAGAACGGCCGGAGCTCAAGAGGAACACGCAAGCCAAAACGACGACGTAACGAAGGATGTGAATGAATGAAGCCATTATTAATTAATCACGTTAATTACTCTCTCGTTCCTTTTGTAATATTAGCCTCGGTTTGATATTGTGATCGATCATATGCATATCTTTATCTTTTATATAGGAATTAATCGTAAGTTTATTAGTTGGGATTACGAGTTTTGCATTGGGTTCCTAACTTCAACCAAACTCATAAAAAGTCAAACTTCACGCCGTATCAACTCCATTGACCTTAATCAAATCGAGATTTGACCTAACCAGATTAAACCGAGTTAAACCGGACCGGTTATTTCTCGTCCACTCCACGTCAGCATTAATGGCGGGAGTTTATATTCAGTTTGCTACAGTTAACTAACCATTCTCTCTCTGCGAACTCTTCTTTTTCAAGGCCCAAGACTGAGATTCTCCAATGGCGATCTCCGGCGGCTCCGGTCTCCTCCTCATGCTCTTCATCTCCGCCATATCCGTCATCATCTCCGCCGCAGAACCGCCGTCGCTAAACCCCGACGGCCACCAACAAATGGATCGAATCATAGAAGCGATGATCGGCACCGGCGATTTCCGCGACTGGGCCGGCGACTTTCTCTCCGCCGTCAACGACCAATTCGGCATCCCTCTCTCCGCTACTCTCTTCATCCCCGACTCCTTCGACGCCGCCTCCGTCACCGTCGCCGGCGGAGCAGCAGATGGCCGTCTCACGTTGGCTTACCACGTCGTCCCGCGGCGGCTCGCCTTCTCCGACCTCCTCCTCATGAAGCCTCTCACGCGCCTCCCTACGCTTCTCCCCGAAACCTCCATCGTCGTCACCAACAATTCCGCTTCCGGTTTCGCCATTGACGGCGTTCGAGTATCCTCTCCTGATCTCTTCCTCTCCTCCTCCATCGCCATCCATGGGGTCGCTTCGCCGCTCGATCTCTCCCTACCCGCCGGCGGCAGAGACGGTACTTTCGGCGGAAGTCTTCTTCCTCGGACTCGTAAAGACCACGCAAACTCCGGTTCTGCATGTTTCCCGGTCTGGTTCTTGTTTCCGGTGGTCATGGCGGTTGTCTCTGCCGTTAAGATTCGGTTGTAGGGTACCAGTCCTTTCCTTTTCTTGCTTCTCAAGAAACCCAAGAGTTCGTTTTTTAGAACATCACGTAAAAAAAAACAATCTGAAACAGAAAATTTCCCAGATTCATTTCCTTTTTCCTTAGTTTCTAGGGTTACAAAGATGGCTTCTGGATCTGTAATAAACGTCCGGGTCCATGGAGTGATTCGGAAGAAATTAACGAATTCTTCAAGTAATTTTGTCAAATTAAAATTTCATATATTTATGCTATATATTTGGTAAATTTCATATGTTTTTTGTGGAATTTTCTCAATTGATAATTTTGACGATTAGGGGTTGTCAAAGTGTTTTAGACCGGTCCGATTCGGTCCTAAACATAAACGGGTTTAAAATTTTTTGGTTTAAAGCCCGATTCTACACAATATATTTTTTTGTAGTGATGAGGGGTTCGAATCGAGAATGATTCTTTCGTTTCTATAAAATTAAGTACCAATCGGTTATTATATTATATTTGGTTCGATTTCAGTTTTGGTTCGATTCAATTTTTATTAAAAAAATTATATCTTTTTAAAAAAGTCGGTTAATTGGGTTTTTTTTAAAGTTCGATTTGTTCTGAAAATTTTGATTTTTTTAAAATTAATACCGTTTAGCATTTTTTCGGTTCGATACCTTTACCGAAACTTACAGGAGTTCGGGGCAAACTTTAGATTTGAACATTAAAAAAATTCCAATTTATGAATATTAAACTATAAGAATATAAATATAACTAAAATATAAAATGTTACCACATTTTCGATATAACTTAAAAATAAAAATTCGATGTAAAATTCAATAATTTTGATTTAAGAAAATTTTAAATTCGAATTATCTAAATTTTATACAGTAATAAAAATTATTTAAATAATAAATTATTATATTTTTAATCGGAATAATTATGTGATACTAAACACATTGCAAAGAATTTATTATCTATTAAAATATTACACTTTAAATTATTAATAAATTATTCAATATTAATATTAAGATGTTTTTTATTAACCAAAAAACAATTTTTTTTGTACATGGATGAAGATAATTTAAGATAATTTTTGTACATTTTAAATTATCTTAAAATTTTGTTATATAATTAATAATAATAATAATCTTCGACGAAGCTTGAATTATATATTAAATTCAGAAACCCTAAATGGGTTTTCCCTCTCCTCTTTCCGACAAACTTTCACCGGCAGCATATTTCTGTGTCTTGTTCACCCACCGGCGGCATCCTCTTCCGGCGGTGGCGAACGACTGAGTACTCTGGCGCCGACGTCGACCAAGAAGTCGCGATATTTGCTCGACGGACACCTTCTCTGGTCTCCTCCGATGGCTGAATTCCACGGCGAATCTAATCCACCGTCGATTTACCTCTCAATATGGAAATGTTAGCCGCCATAGACCGAGCTTCTTCCGCAGGTGCCATCATCTTCGTCGCTAGCATCATCTTCTCACTACCTCCGAGTAGCTACAGTTCGGAGAGGTTAGCCACTTGCAACAAACTCCTTTAACAATTCCCAGTATACTCTCTATCAATTTCTCAGCCCATCCATCAAAAAAATTTCTTGAATTCATCGTTTTATTAAAAGATCAAAGCATGAGTATAAAACTTCAGCTTTGGTTCTGAGTTTAATAAAACTTCCAACATTGCCTGAGTTTTGATTCCTGTCTTTGAATCGCAGCTAAGGTGACGGCAACGGTCCTGAGAATGGTTGCTTTCACATTGGCTTCAGCTTCAGCTTTGGTTCGGTCTCATCCCCTGGGCAGAGGTACTCTGAACTATTCCTCTGTTTTAAGTTGTCGAAGAATGGCTTTTTCTGGTGTTAGAGACCACAGTATGTCTTATAGAGAGAGATTGAGATGTGGGTTTCATGATTGTACTGTGGATGATGCTGTTGATTTGTTTGACCAGATGGTTTGGTCTCGTCCCTTACCTTCCATTGTTGATTTTAGTAGATTATTGAATGCAATCGTCAGAATGAAACGGTATGATGTTGTGATTTCACTTTGCAAGAGAATGGAATTCCTTGGGGTTTCACATGATATCTACACTTTGAGTATTCTGATCAATTGTTTTTGCCGCTCACGTCAAGTGTTTTCAGGCTTATCTGTTCTGGGGAAAGTAATGAAACTGGGTTATGAGCCTGATGTAGTCATTTACACCACCCTAGCTAATGGATTTTGTATCCAAGGCAAGCTTTGTGAAGCATTAAGCTTGGTATACCAAATGGTAAAAGAGGGATACAAACCGGATGTCATAACATTTACCACTTTGGTTAAAGGACTTTGTCTTGAGGGTAGAGCTTTTGAAGCAGTAAGTTTAGTTGATCAGATGTTAAAGATGGATTGTCAACCCGATATCGTTACATATGGCATTGTTGTAAATGGGATTTGCAAGTCAGGGGATTGCGTTTCGGCCTTGAATCTGCTCATGAAGATGGAGGAATCAGGCATCGAGGCCGATGTCATAATTTATAGTATGATAATTGATTGTCTTTGCAAAGTTGGACACATAGACAATGCACTGAACCTTCTTGGAAAGATGGACAACGACGGGATGGTACCAGATGTTGTAACCTACACCTCTTTGTTAAACGGCCTTTGCAGTTTCGGTAGATGGAACGATGTTGCCCGATTGTTGAGGGAAATGGTGAAAAGGAAAATCACTCTTGATGTGGTCACTTTCAGTGGATTAATTGATGCACTCCTTAAAGAAGGGAAGTTCCAAGAGGCTAAAGAATTGTACGAGGATATGATTGAGAGAGGTTTAGTTCCAGATACTATTACTTATACTTCATTGATCAATGGGCTATGCTTGCAGAATCGCCTTGACGAGGCGAAACAAATGTTCGATTTTATGATCAGCAAAGGCTGGTTTCCTGATGCAGTGACTTTTAGTTCTCTGATAAATGGTTACTGCAAGTCTAATAGGGTCGATGATGGTATGAATCTCTTTTATGAGATGTCTCAAAGAGGATTGGTTGCTAATTCAATTACTTACACCATTCTTATCCAAGGGCTTTATCAAGTAGACAATCTCGATGCTGCCCAAAAGCTTTTTCTGGAGATGCAGTATAAAGGTCATCATCCTAATGTTGTAACTTACACGATAATGCTTGATGGTCTATGTAAGAACGGAAAACTTGATCAGGCACTTGAACTATACAGTAAGCTAGAAAAGAGTAGGATTGACCTCAATATATTTGTCCATACAGTTATGATACATGGCTTGTGCAGGGCTGGGAAGGTTGATGAGGCGCTGCAATTATTTAATAGGCTTCTTGAGAAAGGGGTGAAACCTGATGTTAAGACATATACTATAATGATCTCCGGACTTTGCGGAAAAGGTTTACTCTATGAAGTTGAAACGCTAATTAGAAAGATGGAAGAGGATGGTTGTTGTCCGAATGATCATACATATAATGCATTGATTAGAGGTCGTCTAAAAAATGGCTCTACATCGATAGTTGTCGAACTAATAAGAGAAATGCGAAGCAATGGGTTTTCTGTAGATGCATCGACCAGAGGTATGATAATAGATATGGTATCTGACGGTAGATTGGGAAAAAGGTTTATGGATCTTCTTTCTTAATGGTTTAGTTATCGCAGTGCTGATATTACTTTCTGTCGTGGCAATTGATTGATCAAGAGGTGATTTCTTCTGCCCGGGATTTTAAATGTGATATTGATTTTGATGAATTTTTCATTGCTCTTAATTCATGTTTCTTTGGCTCAAGATATCAGTTTTGTCCACATCTCAGAACTCAATGAACAAGGTACTGAAATCTGCCGAAGAAATGGCCAGGCAATATTTTCAATGGGCACCCAAGATCCAGACAGAAGATGCTCAGTAGATTGCAAGCTCAAGACTCCTGCAGTTGCGGAGACTATGGAAGTTATGGATCTAATGAAAGGTTAGATTGTATTCTCCAAGTGCACTTTCTAAAACTTGAACGAAAGCGGGTGTCGGTATCTGATTCTATTCATGTGTGTGTGTGCGTGTATGCACAAGTCAGGAGGATTCTTTGGGAACGAGTTCAGAGTCACATCTCCACTCTGCTTCACCGAGGAAGACACAGGTCCGTATGTGCGCCTTTAGTTTCAATTTCTACAAGTAAAATTACCCATACTACAGAGGCAAATCAAGAAATATGTAAGTTTGTTGTTCTAAAAGAAGTGTCTGTGTTTCGTCAACAGGTGAATGAGAAGATTGATGAGATGCATGCAGGGAAGTGTGTTGAAAGAGGAGAGTTAGCTTCATAAAGGCACTGGTACTAATACTAACAATGCTTCTCCCCCTCGAATGGACTCTGAAGTCTTCTTTACACTCAACGCTTTCGGTATGTGACAGGTGAAATCCGAAGATGGCTCCATTAAAACCGAATCTTGATGAAGGATGAAGCTGATAGTTAAGATTCTACACGACAATTTATATCAGTTGAACAAGTGCTTTCTGATATCTCCTCGTTTGCCTCTGTTATTTACTAACAGCAGCTTACTAATCAGACAGTGCAAGCACAAATGTATGAACTGATCTACATAGATGGAAAGAAAGAGTCTTGTCATCTGTCTGAAAGTTTTAAATCGAACACAAGCCTCTTTTATGGTAAGATAATCTGCTTTATAGTTATATATATACATACACTTTTATTTTCATGTCATTATCCCCTTCCATCTTGATAAAAGAATCAAGAGTTAATCAGAGAGCTGAAGCAAAATCCTTTGAAAATTTACCATAAAGTTGATGTCTTTCAAGAATATGATCGAATAAAAGATGGGAAATTTAAGGCCAAACGTAATACAAACCGTTCGACAATACATATACTACTGACATCCCCTTTTGAGAAAATTTTAAAAAAAAAAATCTGGGGATCGACCGTGATTTCAGAGATTCTACGTTCTTCAAGAAACTCTTCTGCTGTGTCTGAAATCTGACAAATCTTGAATCAAACTGTACAGAGAAAAATCCTAAGACCAAACCACGGTAACTACCAAGTTTAAGGCAATTACTTGCTCTAAAAGTTTAATCCTTGAATCCGTCCAAAAGGCCAAACCGAGAGAGAGAGAGAGAGAGATTCATTCAATTGCATACTTGGTGTAGATGCCATTGCAGTAGCCGTTATATCTTACTGCATCTCCCAACACGTTTGGAGATTTCTTGGCGGTTCCTTTGCAGTAGACACTAACAGGATCCGCCGTTCCATTCCCTACCAGATGATGATGATGATGGTTGCTGTCTTGGTGTACAGAACCCGGTTGAAGGAGTGCATCTAGCTCCCCACATGATGCTGCGATCAGTCCTGAAAACGAAAAAAAAATGCAGAGATTGTGAGAGGATTTGATTTCATTCCATATCACTCGAGATGCTGAAGTTTGGAGCTTTTTCCGCGAAACAATGAATAGGTTTCAACCTAAGAACAAGGGAGAAGCTTTCCCGGGTCTGGATTTGTACTCGGGGTGGAATTGAGCACCGACGAAAAAGGGGTGAGTCGGAATTTCGACGATCTGCAATACCAAGCTTAAGATGTAAAAAGACAAAAGCTTTTGCAGCAAAGGAAAGATATAAAGCTGGCTGGACGAGAAACCGACCTCCATCCGTTTTCCAGTTTCATCTTTTGCGGTAAAAGATAGACCGGCCTTCTCCAGGCGGGCAACCATATCAGGATTCACCTGCAAAAACCAATGGCTATATAGTCATTATCCATGCAAGAAAACCGATAATCCGTGAAACCAGAACTCGGATCCATTCTTCACACCTCGTATCTGTGGCGATGCCTCTCATCAACAAAGCTCTTGTTTCCATATCTGTAAGAACCAGGGGAATATAATTAAAGCTACTCTGAGATGAACAGGCAGGATCTGCAGAGTGAATTTGAGCAAGGGTTCTTACAGTTTAGCGGATTTGCTGTCCTTTACATGAAAAAAGGTTCTTCTCGATCCCAGGCGCATAGTTCCTCCCATATGAGTTCTCGAGCCCTGCCCAATAATGCAAAATGAAATGGACTCCGGGAAAAAAAGAAGTAGATGGGGTTATGGATTTGCGTGTTGGCTAAAGAAAACGAGAATTACAAACCTCAGGCATGAATATGATGCATGGATTTTTTGTGTCGGGAACGAATTCTGTGCTGTTTGCATCGTGCAAGCCAAGAACTGACCGTGCAAACTCGATGACAGCTATCTGCATACCAAGACAGATACCAAGGTACGGAATTCTGTTTTCCCGGGCGTATTTTGCTGCAAGAATCTTTCCTTCGACTCCTCTATCACCAAATCCTCCCGGGACAAGAATTCCATCTGCACCCTGAAGAAGATACTTGAGGTGAATTCATGACTCTCAACCAAAGAAAACATATTATTATACCAATGAACTGGCAAAAGTTACAAACCTTAAGTAACTTCCATGCAGCCTTGTATGCATCTGGATTCTGTGAATACAGAGATTTTATAATCAGATTCAAATACCGGCAAAAGTATCGGTGTGTAAATTTTACAGGCAATTCCATTAGCTGCAGACCTCTTTTTCGGTGGGCTTTTCAAGATCACAGGCTGGAACCCAATCAACAATGAGCTTTATCCAGCGAGCAACAGAAGCATGCAAGAGTGCCTGCCCAAAGTTAAACCCATGAAATCTTAATGAACATGCTAAATAAGCCATTACAGGAAACAATTCCATGAAATTGTGGGCTAAAAAGTTAGGAGACAGATCGATATTGGAATCATAAAGTGTAAGTTTTTACCTTCAAGACCGAGAGATAGGCATCGGAGAGTCCTGTATATTTCCCCACGATAGCGATTCTCACCTGTAAATTACGAGCAAAAACATGACTTGACGAGTAAAGGAGACATCGAGGATTTGTTTGAGAGTTTGACACCCACCGGCACATGCAAGTTGTCACATATATTAGTCCTGGCAGTCCACTCCTCCAATGACGGTTCTTTAGTGATACTGTTTCATATAAACAACCATCACTACGAGACCATTTGAATTCTATACCAATATGTGTATTAAGTCCACATGCAGGAATG